CCAATGTTACTGTGTGGCTGCACTTTCCTAGTGACCTTTCAGTAACTCTTGTTCGAGAGAGGTTACTTTAATCCCTCCTCCAAAGGTCATGATGAATGGATGTGTCTAGCTCGGTCATACACTAATGGTAAAATATGCCTGAAAGTCCATTATGAAATACCCATATTGCCCTTATTTTTCTTTTTGTCGAACATTTTGCATTGAAGCTGAGTGTGTAGGTGCGCATCTCATCTGTAATGCTAATAGACTGCTGCAGGGAATTCAGGGTAAAAGGTAAAGGGATTTCAATATGAACCGTTTCCCTTTATCAGTGAGCAAAATGTGACATCAGTATATAAGTGACAGGGTTGCTAGAATGTTCACAGAGGGACGAGTCTGCAGCTCAGGGCCCATCTAGACATGTTATCATCAAATACTACGTTCCCTGTCCAGCTGGGAGATAATACAGAAAGCTACAACTACCAGCTTCTAGTCAACAGCAGTTTGTATTCTGCTTCTTTTGGCATGTCCGTCCTGTTGCTGTGCTGATTCATCTTCACCGCATAGCAGACAAAATAAAAAGCAAGGTTGTATAGCAGAGGAATCAGAATGGGCTTTATTGGCCATGTATGTTTGCACATACATGGAATTTTACTCCGGTTACACGCTACTCTGTCATACATACATATACAAGTAAATAACAGAATATAAAACATATGGAAAAAGTCATTAAGGAAAACAAAATAGAACACGGAAACTAAGCATAAACATTACAGTATAAAATAGTGATGGCAAACAGAACCGCATTGTATCTCAACGGCCAAAACGGAAACTGTGACGCGGCCACTTCGGACCTGTTTTATGTACCTTTGACCAAGCAATGTTTTCATTTCCACCAAGATATGTGTGACCGCTGTGTGTGAGCAGAGGGGTGGAAAGCTCTGAACCTCCTGCAGAGGACAAGAGAGGCAGTGAAGGGCAGAAGAGTCAGAGCTTTGTTCAGGTGGTTTACATAAATTCCTGCCGCTTCTGTGTCCACTGTAAACATTGTATGGATCCATGTTATGTTTTACATGTGAGCAGTAAAGTCATGTGCAATATAGGGCTGCAGGTAAACTGATTCAAACGTATACTGGTAACAATTGATGATGCTCTTTGGCAAGTGGCAGAATTTATTTCTGCACGTCATTGCAGAACTCTGTTGGAGCTACTTGTCTTACGTGTGTTGAGTTTGAGTCATGGTTATAACTTTATAACAACAATAAATAACCCACAACAAACACTCTTTAACAGCACAAAACACCACAACGCAACAGCTCGTGACTCATAAACAATTATTACTAATTACTAATAATTGTATATTTATAAAATTACCCTGCCAAACTGTATGCTGGGTGCCGCTCACAACAACAAGTAACTCTGTTGATACATAAAAACGGAAAAGAGCGATACAGGAGGAACAACCAGAGATGCACCAACACAACTTGTGCCCAAGAGAGGAGCGGTGTCTGTTTGGAGGGGTTTGGAAAATCCATGTTAGTCAGAAAACGATTTATTGCAAAGTAATAAGGGTCAATGAATTAATACATACATACATACATACATACATACATACATACATACATACATACATACATACATACATACATACATGAGACCATTAACAATAAGTGGGGAGCACGGTTGTCCTCCAATTACAGGGTTGACGGTTCAATCCCAGGCCCGGCTAACCCGCATGTTGATGTGTCCTTGGGCATCATTGGGCATCATTTTCACAATAGCTTGTTTAATTCAGTGGTCCATCTGGTCCAGCTGGTCCAACCCACACTCAGCAACCTGCTGCTGTTGAGTCCCTGCTTTAGTTGTTTGATCAGGTCCCCTGATTAAACCACTGTGAGTGAACAGAGGGATGCAAGCTGTCTGAAATGGACTCATTGGTTTGCTCAGGCCGGCAGTCAGTATGACTGAGAGATGTCACCTTTACTTGTGGCGTAATCCCTTTTCACTCTGAAGTCCCTTTGTGTCTTGGAAGAACTCAGATTCGGGCACAGATGAAAACATCACAAAAATACCGGAAGTAAGAACTGCAGTCACAACTTGGGAGGGCAGCAGTGATCAATCTTTGGAATAATGATGCGAACCACTTGGTTAAGTGATGACAACTAATGGAAGATTCTTGGATGTCATTACGTCATATTTTGGTAGCCTGACATTGTAAATACAGAGTGGAAATGAGAACTAGATGATAGAAGTGATATTGTACTGCAGGTTTATATTTAGATACAGGCTTGCCCAAAAGTTGTGTTGTATTGCCGTAAAAGTATTGCCCTCTGTGTGTCACGGTTTGGGTTTATTTCCTGTTTTACTTTGTAGTTTCCTGCCTCTTGTGTTCCTGGGTTAACTTCACTTCCTGCCTCGTCCTGTCTCCCCTGTGATTGTCTGCTGTGTCTCTGATTGGTTCCACCTGTGTCCAATCACCTGCACCTTCCCAGTGTATTTAAACCTGTGTGTCTTTTGTCCTTTGTCATGTCATTGAAGGTCCTGGTCCTGGTCCTGGTCCTGGTCCCTGTCCCTGTCCCTGTCCCTCGGTGATTCTGAATTTCGACTATTAAAGTCTTTTTGTTCGTAACTCTGCGTCTGGGTCCTGCCTCTGCTACCCGGTCTTGACACTGAGATGCGGCCAGTCCTGTTCACTTTTTGAACACATCCTTACTTAGGATGTTGCTTTTACGTTGTTCATTCTGTACATATGACATCTATTGCAGTCTGTCCATCCCGGCAGACGGACCCTCCTCTGCTTTTCTCCTTGAGGTTTCTTCCTTTTTTTGTGTTTGCAATTCCAAAGAGAGAAAAAAGGCACTGTAGAAACAGATGGAGCCGTGTGTCTTAAAATATGCCAGACTGGCTGTCGGTCCATTCAGTGTTTTTGACAGACACCTGACTGTGAGGCCTTATGCTTCACAAATGAAGCTTAGTCTCAAACTCATCCGAGCCCCTGGGAATAACACAACTGTTACAGACAATCAACGTGACGAGCCTGAATGTCAGCCAGCCCCCTGTGAGCTCCTCTCAGTCAAAGCATCCTGCAGCAGATTTACAGGCTGTGCGTCACGTCATCCTGTCTTCTTTAAACGACAATTCATTTTTACCTAAAAGATTGCTACTGTCCTTCTGGAATCTTCAGAGATATATTCCAAATACAAATCGGATCCTTCTTAGCTACTGCAGCTCAAATACTGCAACCTTTTTTCAATGATTTCTTGAAATATGATGACAACACTGGCATGTCAACATATGAAGCTGTTGGCATTCTATCTACAAACAAGATAGGAGGCCCATTTTGTAATAATTTTACCTAATAAATGTAAGTTAGATTTTTACACTCCTGTTATAGCGGCTCAGATTTTGAGGGAAATATCGGAGCCTTAAGCTAACCAGATGTTCAGTTAATCTCCAGCTGTGGCATTTGACAAAATGTCTCAACAAGTCATGGGGAGACCCTACTGTTGAATAACAGAGTAAAACATTCAAAGATCGATAACATTGTAACTTTACAGAGTTGATGACTCGCATCAAAACAATTATTTTCCTTAAATATAAGGTTCAATTATCTTATTAAACATGTGATTTTTATGCCTTTCAGAACAGAAATCATCATCGATGAAGGCCCACTTCGTTGACATATTGGAGTCAAAGGTTTTCACAAAGGGAATTTGTCATATATCTTTGTGTCACTCCATGAATCAGAAAATATTGCCAAAAAGAAAAAACATCAACATGTTTTTGGAAAAATGCTGTATAAGGAATACATGAAAAAATGTGGTTCAAATATATATCATATATTTGTATTATATTCAATTTATTTGTCTGAACACACACAACATCCCCTGTCATGTAACCCTCACTTAGGCACAGAGAAAACTGAAATGATGACATGTTGTGATAATGATATGATGAGGATGATATTTTGACGGACGTTGACGTGAATGTGGTAAGAAATGAACTGATGTCACTATGAAACTTCCCTTTGCCTGTCAAACCACTCCAGGACCCACCGTCCTGTGTTGCCTTTGGAGACGAAGGGACACGCTGATTTAACACCTCATTTATGTAGTTAGCGTTTGACATTTACCATACTGTGTTCCAGATGTTTCTGACAGGTGGATAGAGAAGAGGTCCAGTGGTGACCAGCACACATGTCTGATGCCTCTGCACAGTGCTGCACATGTGTAGATGTGTGTGGCAGGGATCTAGTTCACAGCAGGGTAAACAAGCTCATAAATCCACGGATTGAGGCTGCTTTTAGGGATTGGATGTGGCTGTAATATTCAATGTCAGAGCTTGCTGCTGGAATCTTGCCTGGGCCCCGTGACAGCTGTTGACGAACACATTATCAAGGAACCTATGCAGTCCAATATAACAACCATGCGCGAAACATTTGCGAAAGATTGAGATTCAGTTTTGATGATGTTATGTTGAGACCAAAGATTCTGACGCTTTTTCTACTTCTACTAATATTTGACCAAAGTGAAAAGGCATCTGCTGTAGTATTGTCCGTTCTTAACATCACGTTCCTCATTTTACAGTGCTAATCTGTGTAGACCTCTATTCGTAATCTGGCTATTCAAATATAGGAACTGAAAGCATGGTGACTAGAATCAGAGAGCCACGTGCTCTCTTTTCGAGGCACTGACAGTGAAGCGGATCACTGGAGACATCAGGTATTTCATTAGCACTATTTGTACAGTCTACTTTCAGAAATAAGTGGTGGGTCTGATAATTCCACGGATTGAAGCTGAGGGGTCGATCATCTGTCTCGTGTCTACAACGTCAAGTAAGTGAGAGGCAAGTTGTTTTGGTAGGATTTGCACACTAACATTTTCTGTTTTTTAGCCTCTCTTGATGCTTTCAGAGGACACCGGGCACACAAACCGCTGTGAACATCGTCCTTCCCTTTCTGACACAAACATGTTGAGATAGTCCTCAGCCCGTTGTGGGAGTAAGAGACTTAAACCGGTTCGAACGGAATGCGTTTTAATGAAATACAACTTTACAGTCCAAAGCAGTTGACCATGATCAAACTGTTGCAGCCAGACAGAAATCTATCCAGAAAATCATTCCAATGCTCACCTGTGTTAGTAGGACTTTTTATGAGCATGGGTATCTGTTAAAAACACAATAGATGTACTAAAGTGAAATTATAAAGAGTCTATCCAGGATTTACCCACACGTGTTTGTGCAGTCGGGCGCTTGGCCAAATAATAATAATAATAATCCTAACCCGCAGTGCAACAAATCATGTCAAATCCTGTTTGAGTATTCGTGGGATGTGCAGCTCTCACAGAGGCCGTCGCGGCCCCGAGGCTTTCAGCTCTGTTCACCATTGCATTTCACGATGTATTGTCATGTTTCCTGTGACCTCAAATGTGTTGCCATGACTCCATAGCCGTTCACGCTGTGTCTGCCGTATCAAAGAGTCAGGTGGTCCACTTGGGAGCACCCGCGGGTGAAACTTCTCTTTCGTTAAACCCCGACTGGACCAGCATTTCAAAAGACTAAGAGCACGACCTTGTCACGTCATCATCTGGGAAGGTACTCCTGTGGAAGTCCACTAAAGTTCCTGCTATGCAGAGCTTGGTCAACAGAACGAATCAAGGGGTCGATCATCCGTCTCATGTCGGGAGTGAACGGGTCAAAGGAGGAGGCCCCCGAGCGTTTAAAATGGCCGTCCTGGTTGCTCTGGGCACAAAGCAGCCTCTCCTCTGTGATGGTGGCGTTCAGGAAGGCTGTGATGACACGCAGCTGAGGGAGAAGGGCCCTCTGCAGCTCCTCGTAATGCACCACCAGCAGGCGCCGTCCGAACTTCAGCCAGCTGAGAGCATGGGACGCCCACCAGGGGGCGTAGCTGGAGACAAATTCTGGCCATTCTGCAGGTGAAAGACAGAGCAGTTTGGGACTCAACTTGAAGGAACTGAGCTGTTGCACTATATAATATGTGTATGTCTGAATAAGTTATTGATTATTTGACCCGCATGCTCTTTCTTTGTATGAGGGAGCTTGAAATCTAAGAATCACTGTGATTTCACGGCATATGAAAGTAAAGAGGAAAACAGTATTACCTTTGCTTTTCCACTGTGCGTCTGTGGCGTGGCCTAGATGTCCGGCACACTTGCGGTTAAACTCTGCCACAAGGGAGCGGTACGGGTTTCGAATCAGCAGGATGGAAGAATCAAACATCTCAATCTCCTTCTGACCGCTCTCGTGGGTCTTCACGCAGATGCTGCGGCCGCTCTTCCAGTAGTCCTTCTCCCCTTTGAAACCTGCCGGCAGTAAATGAATGAATGAATGGATAACGGTCAGCTCCGCGGGCAGTACGTCATCAAACCTCAGACTCCCGTTTGTCCTCCCCCACCTCTGTTGTAGAGGGTGCCGTCAAAATAGAAGCTGCCGGTGTAGTAGCCGGTCACGAGCTCGATCAGGTGTCTCACCCAGGTGTTGCCTGCACCGGGAAAACTAGAAAGGGCCACCAGGGAGCTGGATCTCTGTGGCAGAAACATCCTCTCTTTGCACATGGAGTCTAGAAGGAGAGGTCGTTATTTGCTCTTTAGTTATTAAACAAGAGATTAACCCGATCAGATTTCAGTGGAAAGCCCTTTTAGTGATCACATCTATCCGGGTCAAATTAATGCAGAGGATTACCAACTTTTTTTGTCAAGCATATTACCATCTAATTGACATTTTTACATGGATATTAAGTAATTTGCTATTAAATGAAGATTTCTTTCTATATCAAAACACAGTACAGCTGTTTTACGCATCGTGCGCACATGCTAGTAGTGTATGTTAGTACATGTGAGTGCACAGATTAGATCACGGCTGCTATTCTGCACTGCTCTTCTACGTCGCAGTTGAGGAAGCGAAGCACCCACCCTGTGGTTCCCCCCCGGGTAAACCCTGTCAGCTCAGGTAGCATATTTGCTGTAGTTTGCACTGTTAGCACCAATAGCTACGAGAAGCAAAAGAAATGTACTGTATTTAGCATGTTAAAAACGCTTTTGTACAGAAATGATTCGGTCCCCAGATTGTTGATCCATGCTGTAGCTGTGATTACTTTAAGTGCTTTCCACATGCAGATGATTGTTATCTCACCAAGCACAGGTGTGTGATACACCTGGTAGTGGGCGAGCTCAGTGGGCGCCACGGCTGTGGAGTTGCCGGTGTGATTGAGCCCAGTTTGCTCCACACACTGCTGGTTGTCGGACTGCTGGTTGAGACTAAAAAGAGACGGCGTCCACGTACAGAAGCAGTGGGGCTTTTTGAACACAGCCAGCGGGAGCTCCTGCAAACCAAAAAGCACAACGTTCTCTGTGTCTTCCTATGACTCATCACAATGACTTTTCTTTCCAAAGATGTGTATTCTCCTCGTGGGTCTTCCGTCAGCCCGCTCCTGCGTCAGTCCATGTTCCATCATTTTTTCACACATTTCCAAGTGAGCAAAATGCTCAGTGTCAAAGCACAGGAACGAACCGTTTTAAACATTTTAGAGGATTTGTGTATAATCATATACATGCACTCACAACATGGTGTGAGAATTAATTCTCAATGCAATTGCCACCCCTATATATCAGCCAGTTTTGTTTTTCTGAGAAGACGCAGCGGCATCCATTAAGATGTCACGAAAGCGATCCAAACTATCTGCTTCTCATTAAAGGCACATTAGACCGTAAATATTCAGCAAAATCCAAGGAGCTCTACGCTCCCACATGTTCTCTCCTGGGAGTGGAGACAGCTCTCTGAGCTATGGGCTTAAGAAACAGAAAGCTTCTTGCAATATATTGATCATAAGGTCTGTCATTTCAGAGGCCTAATTCCAACCTTGTCTGTGCAGGTCTCGATGCAGGACTGCGTGGTGAGGTTGGGCTGAAAGGAATCGATGGGGAAGGTTCTGATGGTGCTCTTTGTCAACTTGAAGCAACCGCGGTAGTGAACATTTCTGACTGGAAATAGACAGACACACAAGAAAATATATAAATGGTAAATAGACTGTACTTGTGTAGCGCTTTTCTAGTCTTCTGGCCACTCAAAGCGCTTTCAACACGTGTCACATGTCATCATTCAGTCATTCACACACTGACGACAGCAGCTACCGGATGCAAAGCCATCTGCCCACCAGTAACTAACATTCACATCATTCACACACAGCAGTCACAGCGATGTGTGGGAATGACCAATGTTGGGGTTAAGTGTCCTTCCCAAGGACGCGTCAAAACACGGGTTATCAGTGCCTGGGATGGAACGGCCTATGCTCTGATTGGAGGACGACCGGGCTCTCCACTCACTCACTCACAGTCGCCTAGTTGCATACTGGTGGCATGATAACAAGAAATGATTTGGCGGGATTCCCCTGCATAAACCAGCACTGAGAAGTCACTTAATTTATTCACCGATTAGCGCAAATGGAGGGTTTACGATTTTTAAAATTGGTTGCTCGACATCAGGGTTATACTTAAATGATCTGTCTTGAAGTATGTCTGCCCTAATAATTACATTCCTATACTTAGTTCTATTCGGATTTTTACATTCACAAGTCAGCTACAAATCTCCAGAGACACACAACCCACCCAGCCTGAATATTAATACTGAATATGGTATAAACTCCTTATATAATATAGTTGACCATGCCAACATCAATAATGTTGTACATACTGTATTTTTGAAGTGCAAAACACAGAAATGGTGTGTATAATCTGTACTGCTGAATTTTCAGATGACTTGGTTTTTCATTATTAAGATCTATATACTCTTCTGACAGTCCGATACCGACATGTTGCCTGAATATGTCATGCAGTTTTAAATGAAATGCACAGTAGCTAAAATCTGTCATGCTCCAGGAAACAACTGGTATTATTTGATATACATTATAGAAACTCCACAGCTACAAAGGTTTTCAATAGAGGGTTGAATTGCACATTACTCTTGCTTTATTAAAGGTTGAAGGTCTTTATTCTCTCTGTTGTTATACAAAGAGCCCTAAGTTATCCAGACTACTTTTGCTATTAAAAATGAATTCAAATCCAATGAGCTTGAGACATCAGAGACATTAACGATAGGGCTGATAGTGTTTATTTTTCTGTGGACTCTATGGATCTCATTTGTAACACATGTGTTTTATTTATTTTTTTAAGGCTCCGTACATTTGCTTGAGCAACTTGGCTCTGTATTTTTGAGTAGACTGGTCTCAGATAGAAATATGAGTAGTCAATTTGTTGTGGACTATTTTCAGCCGTGGATTAATACTCTTGTGCAGTGGCTGCTGCAACACACCAGGTTGTCTCGAGGACAGACCAAGGGTACTGCAATGTACCGTCTATGTCTATACATCACTAAGAATGGTTGATGGTGGCTGTCCGGGACATGAGAGCTCTCCAAGTGCACATCAGACATAACATAAGTGTCACAGCAGCAGTAAAGAAATGGATCTTTTACTCGGGCAGCATCAGAATTTGAGACAACCAAAATAAGTCAAATTAGACTGTGTTAGACGGTGAAAACCACTTGGCTCACGGGGAGGGGAAGTAAGCTGTCATCTGAAAATCTGCCCAGCAACGTAACCTAAACCGTTTGGGACGTTTCCAGAGAGGAAAGGCCCCTGTTGATGCAAACACTGACGTCCATTCATTTTTATCAAATATTTATTTACATCAAGCAGTAAATATGTGTAGGGTGTTCAGCGGCTTTCTATTGTTTAAATGTTCTTCCGTAAGAGGGTTGCCATAGTGAAAGAAAGAAATAGCCATCATTGCCAAAAACGCCCATGCTGTACAGAGTTATAACATCCATATTAAAACAAGGTTAAATACAATACAACTATATAAAGACCTATTTTTTGTCACGCCTTGTGAGTATTTCTGGCAGACAAAATTATGTATGTACGACTCACTGGTGTGTTCAGAGGAATTTATATATTTATGGTCTTGTGATATTAGTAAGAATTGATTTAGGTATGGTTTTTGCCAATCTGTACCAAGCCCAGACTTTCGTTCCAAAAATATAGAGAAATAAGATTGTACAAGTTGTAATGAAACCTTGCGAACCCCTGCAGTTTTGGAAATATTTTTTTGACTTTTATTGTTCTAACTAAAGTGATACCTCAAGTCCAGTTCCAGGTAGAATTGCACTACCTGGAACTGGACATAAAATTGCACAACAAACACTGCAACTAACCCTTCAACCAAGCCAAATAAAGGATAGATGTTGTTTATATATACGGCTTGAGATTGCCTATATGCGTTATATGACGGTTTGGAGCTTGCCACAAAAGCTAACATTAGCATGACGTCTGGGTGTAGGCAAGGTGAGAAAATAGGTTTTTGTTGTATTGAGTATACATGGGCACTATCGAGGGCTTATTGATGAAACATCAAGTTTATTACGCGGATTTACAGCTAAAAGCTGTTTAGCGTAGCCCAAGGACATGAAACAGCTCGCCTGGTTCTCTTTGAAACTGTTTATAAACTTGTCGTTAAATGGACCACAGAAGGGTACATCATTGCATGCAGATTTCCCATAGATCTGCAGCGCATCTATGTTTTGAACTTCATCCCGTCCTGTTGCCATACATATCTGTGCAAACAGCATTTCATTTCTTTTACCGGACGCAGCACACTGTTTAAAGAGGTCTGTGTCTTTCATTTAAAGGATTTAAGTTTTGTCGCTCGTCTGCAGCACCACAAAGCAGCTCATGCAGATTAAAAACAGCGGCTCTTCTTCTACGAGGCGAGTTAACTCACATTTTCTGTGACCTGGCAGCTGCCCGTCCACTTTGTAAATGGAGAGTCGGCCCACGCCTCCACAGGGAGACCCCCTCTCACCCCGGCACACCAGACCGCAGTCTTCCTCCGGGGCCCGCGTGCTACTGATTCGGTTCCCGCAGTGGCAGTCGGCTCCAAACTCCAGACCTGCAAACTGGTACCCGCTATCCACACACACACACACACACACACACACACACACACACACACACACACACACAGGTAAAAACACAGCGTTAATGCCCTAGCCAAAGGCAATGCATCACCTCAAGCTCTCGCCCTCAGGCTAAACCGTCCCTCAGGACATTAATTAACATTTCTAAATTATCATTTAACACAGTTCCCAGCATTAAATCTAAAGCGGTGCCCGTCCCCACTCAGTGTGTTTACATGATGGTATAATTTGAATCTTTGCTTAGTCGGACTATGCTATCCAAGTCCTATTATCCCAATATACATGGCAGTGAATAAATCGAATCATTGGCCGAAAGCATGTCATATACGATACGATAGGTGGCGCTGTTTTCATTACAACTAGTTGTGATACAGCCATTTCTGCTTGACCGCTTCACCACTCCCAACAACAACCAACAACAACATCAACATTACGAGAAAGATGGCGAACGGAGAGCAAGGTGAAGCTACATCCCTCTACTATTTGTGCATGATGTTAATAGGAGTACAGCGAATGGCGCTATTGGCTGATTTGATAACGGAGAGAAGACGCCGTCGGGATCTCAAGCATGCGCAAAGACGCAAAGTCCAGTTCCTTATCCGATTCCCCGTTACATGCCACAATAGTCGCACTATCAACTGGATCGGATCGAGTTATCCAGGGGTGTTAGTCGGATCGTAGTCGGACCGCACATAGTCGGACAAAGGTGTTTACATGAAACGGATAATCCAATTTCAGTCCGACTAAGCCAGTTATTCGAATCCATGTAACCTCGCTGAGTGATGTTCCTCAGTGTTTCTCTCTCTGCACTCATCTAACTGCGAGATGCCTTTTATTCTCTAGCTGAATGGCGGTCATCTATGATCTGTACTTTACATATCAAGGCTGTCGTGACTCATCCTCTCTTTTTATCTTCCCTCTTCGGGAAAGGCAGAGACGTCATCAAAGTTGACCTTTTCATATATGTTCTTTTGAGGCTTCCCCATAAATTACCTTGACTTTTTACTTTTTATTCATTGCGGTAATTGGCCCACTTGAGCACGACTGCCTTCCATAAGGACGGGGGCATGTGGAGGTGGTTGGGGGCTTTCGGGGGCTGTCTGACTGCATCCATCTGTCCTCTGCTGTTCTGTTCCAGCGGGGCTGTGCTACTTCCTCACTGCTAAGACGTGAAGGAGAATACCTCAAGCGGGTCATTCGTTGAGTTTCCCATGAACTGCCCAACTGCCTCCCCAACATTTCCTTGCAGCTATGGAGTGTCGTTGCAAATGCAGAGAATTCGGGTCACAGCGACCCAAATGCGATTCAAAGGCGGCCACAGGAAGACCCATATCTAACCTTTGATTTATTCACTAACCGCTGTATTCAACCCATTCAGCTTTCTAACAGACACACACACACACACACCTTCCTTTTCCTGCAATAGATCAAGTCTTCTGTCCTGGCTTGCTCTTCACCCCCTCCTTCCCCCCCACATCTTTTACTGTCATCGAGCCACCTGGCTCTCCGCTGGCTCCAAACACAAGGAGACATTCATGGAGGGGACTGGGATCCAAAGCGTTTACTCAAACAGCCGGCCCTCTGTGGCCCCTTCCCCGGCAGCCCGCCGCGAACGCATTACCTTTCGGAGCAGGTGTCTTGACACAGAGAGCTGGTCATTTTGCGCAGGTCATAAAGCATGGTTCCTCCCAGCGCTCGATCACTGGCGTTGTGCAGATAGCAGCCCATGTACGTTCCTGCATGCGAGTGAGAAGCGGTGAGAGTGACAGACATCCTAGAAAAGGAGCTCAGCTATTGTCACAATAGATGAGTGTCGGCTTGAAAAGTGTTCTTGAGATGACAGTAACAATGTAGTCAATGAATCAATTAGTCAACGAAACAAATGCACTTGACAATCAGGTAATCCTTTAGATAATTTGTTCAGACAAGGTTTTAAACATTCTTTGTTTCTAGCTTCTCAAGAGTGAGGAGTTGCTTTTATTTTATTTGAATATGACTTGTTGGGGTTTTGCCATCGTGAGCCGGACATGATAAACTATTTGAAGTTCTCACCTTTGACCTTTGGAATTAGCAATGGGACATTTTGTTGACCAAATGGTTCATTATTTGAATTGATTGCCAATTTAATCGATTAAATTAAACATGAACATGAAAACAGTGATCAGTTTCAGCCGTAATATATAATCAATATTAAATATTAAAAAGTTGGTTTCAGATTTATTTTTAGACTCAGAGCAATGTTTACCAAAAAAAACTTGAATGAATTGCGATAATTTGGCTTTGGATTCCCCACTCATCGCTGCATCCTTCTTGGCACTTACTTGCCCTATCTTTCAAATCGGCCTTCATTCCAATGAATACACACCTTTAAAGTTTTTCTGAAACATGAGTACCAGGTGACTCAGGTGATACCAGTGAAAACACAATTCTAGCGTTGCTGTTGTGGCCGGAGATAATTCTGAATGCACTTTCTTCCATGTGACACCCTTCACTGATATGCGTGAGCACAATGCGAATCGATGATTAGCCGTAATTTGGACATAAACCAGACTTCATTTGGCACTGACGGGGTCCTCACACAGGGTCAGAAAATCATCACTTTCTACTCATTATACAAGCCAGCATGTACTGTGAGCCATAATATTCAACTATTTCATAACATTACGAGATCATAATTGATCATCCAATATAGTCATTTAATATAGATTATTCTATTCCTATTTTACAGTGAACCAATTGACTTGCACTCAAATAAGAACTACTCCTGTAGAAAGGAGGATATACCGGTAACACGTAGGCAGTGACAACACTCCATGGGCTCCATGTAAAAAGTCACCCAAATTCCGCCTTTGATGTTATCCTTGTCTTTGCCACATCGCTACATCAAACTCAGCTGACACATCAAAGTCTTCGTTTGAAAGACCAGTGTCTTGTGGAGGGCAGCATATGCATTTCGTTTGTGTGTGGGCTTCATTTATATTCTGCCCTTTGTGTCTAAGACGGTTGTATTTTTAGGTGATATGCCAAATGTTCACCCTGGGAGTGTATATTTTTAGTGAGTGGACTGTATGCAGGAAATTCCCAAATCCTGGCTTTAAGCTTTTATTTAACAGGCTTTGTGAATTTGCATACAAGGATGTTTTATTGTTTTCAGGGACTCTGAGTTTCCCACATAAAAATAAAGTCATCTCAACAGGTCAAAGGGGATTTTTTTTTAAGTGTTGGAAGGACTAAAGAGGTTCGGAAGCAAGGTGCACGAACAAGATGGACAAAAGCGACGGACCGTGAGGTCCCCTGGCAGCCCGAGCGTTGCAATATCGAATTTGTGATTCAATCAGTCTGCGATGTCCTCTGAAGCCCGTCCAGCGAGTTGCACCGGGCAAGGCAGAGCTGCGCAGTCGCAGCGGCGGCCTCGGGAGGCAAACACTCCAAAAGTCAAAAAGTCTATTGTAGGGACCATCTTAAAAGGTATCACCTAGGGCCTTTGGGTAAGGCCTTTTTTCTGCCGTTGTTGTTGTGGTCACGTTGCAGATCAGATTTGCGCTTTACACCATTCACAAATGTGTCCACATTGGCCGTGCATGTCACGTCGGTTCCGCTTGATACTTTTTTCTTTCTTACATACAACCAATTTTTACACCATTGTATTTGTGATGTGTTTGTGGGTTGGGGATGAAGTTGCGGTTTAATTAAAGTGATCAAAGGGGAAAGGCAGCTGAGGCTGAGGAGGCCCCAAATTCTAAAGATGATAGAAAGGACGGTACTTGCGGTACGTTTCCCCCCGAAAGCGAAGCGAATTATTCACGCGAGTAGATTCCATGCAAAGTCAATGCTCAGGCACAAATAGTTGCAAACAAAGCAAATTTTCAACGGGCGGCGGGAATGACACGGCGTGTAGGACGAGAACGAAGCGAATGGGGGGAAGCGAATAAATCGCCTGACAAAATCTGCCCGCTTTTAAAGGTAACATGTTGTATCTACGTAATTTAATTACGACAATGAATTACTACAGGAGTTTTATGTAACATTTTGTTTTGGCCTGGAGCAAGGATAAAGACTGTCGGTTGCCTGGCAACCTCGCAGTGACGCGGCAAACAGATTTTTTACGTTACAAGTTTTCGAGGATCTGGTAGGTGAATATAATGTGTCACTGTTTCCAGTTGTTATGCTAAGCTAAGCTGCTGGCATTAGCGTCAAATTTAGACCTGCTGGAGGGAATTAAAGCTTCGTAGTGTCGATCTTCTCAAATTCTAAGCAAGAAAGCAATAACTGTATTTATTCACAATGTCTATTGCTTTATTTACATTGATCAATAATCTGAATAATTTATTTTCAGTCAAATTAATTAATTCATGCTTTTGGCACTGACTGAAAGCGAGTCTATTGCTTAGGGATAACTGTACCGTAGAGGGTTATGAACTCTGGCCCAAGTAGTGGCCTGAAGAGTGTTCATTTCCTTTAGATTTTGTGTGCTCATAAAATGTCTAAATGTCAATTACTATACTCAGTAATTCAAGTCGGGAACCAATAAGACTAACTGCCTTATGACACTGTGTATCAGTAACATATAAGAAAACTATATTTAGCCTAAACGTGGAGTTATGAATGCTTACATGGAATGTAAGGAGTTTCAGGAAAGACGACTCTGCAGTTTACCAACCCACAGCCAGCTCCATATCTCTTAAACTTCAAATAAATCCAATAAGAGGCCTGATGGATTCCTTCATTCTTGGTTCTTGAGTAGAAGCATCATCTGCAGTGGCCTGTTGACTGTATCACAACCTTTTTATTAAAACCACTTTTAAACTCAATGAATGAAGTTATTCGCACCGGCCTAAAGGTTTTTGAACACAACAATCCCTTTGCTTCTGACTGAGTGGTTGAGCATTGTCTATTTGAATGAAGGATTAACAGCTTTTGTAGCTTTTCAAGAATGAGCTGGAAGAACAAAGGCTCCACCAAAGCATATTCTATAGTGCATTTATCATTTTAACAAAATGTGAAAGGCCCAGACGATCAGTGTGAAGCAACAGAGTAACTGTCCAGCAGTCAAGTGACAATATTGGCACCTTAGCGATAGCATATAGGAATTATAGAATTATTAATTAAATATTATTTTTGTAATTTACAAATGTATTTTGGCATGCCTGCCTTTTCCTTCTCTGCTTTTTCAGTGAGCAATTTACCTCGTCTACAATAGCTGAAGCACCCTCAAGTAAAATGTCATATAAATGTATGATGATGGCCATCTAAATGTTTTAAGGTCATGATTATCTTTTCGTGAAATGTCAATGAATCCTGTTGAGTGCACCGCACAGCCTCGGCTCCAGGCCACCTGAGCTAAAATAGTAAATCACAAAGCGAAAAAATAAACTTGTATTTCCCCCTTCATATATTATTCACCAGAAAAACCCACGACTCAGTCAACACGTCTTCACCCAAGATATTTCAAACTTGCAAATCCTCCCTATGCTCCATTTCACATTTCAGAGTGTCAAAGCTGAGGGGTTTTTTCTCTGACTATTCCATTGTTTACTAGCAATAGGTGCATAGAGCCGGCTATACAAGGTCAGTTCACAATGTGCAAAAAACCCTCCAGATGATGTGACCACGCAATCACAAGTCTGTCGGGTCAAATGTATTTTTTACTACCGTATTGAGACTCCTTGAGGTTAGGAGAAGCAGAAAATGAGTGGGAAAGAATATTAATTTAGTATTTACATGGTCAGCTGGTTAAAACAGTCAACTGCCTCTTACACGTTAACATCTCACTTGCACACTATTTAATGTAAATAGGGCAAGCAGTGGTCACATGTTAGCATTTACACTGGCTGCTATTGGCTGCTGGCCAGTTAGCTATAAGGAAAGACCATTCAGAGTTGAAAAAATGACTAAAGACTGGTAGGTAGGTGGTTGGTATGAACTCAATGTGGAGCCCAACACTGAGCCTTAAAGCTATAAGGGGAGTAATCTTACAATTCTTATTGACCAAGAAACCAGCCTGAAATACCAAACCAAGTGATGCAAACTCTATTCCAATGACAGTAAGAGTGCAAAGGCAGAATGCATGTAAAGCAAATGTCAATGTGGAATTATCCGCCCATTTAGTTGTCTGTGTTGACTGTGTGTAGTTATTTACCTTTATGTTTGCTGCTCCTGTGGAGAGGGACTCTCTGCTCTGGGCTCTCTGGCAGCAGACTGTGAAACCACTGGCGGTGCAAGTGTTGTACCCCCAGGCTTTGGGAAGCAGGCCACTGCCGCCCTGCCTTGGTTCCCCCTCCGGACGCGGGCTGAACCGCAGCAGCGGCGGCCCATCTGGAGCGGGCCCTCACGCCCGGGCCAAACCAAGCCCTGAGGACAGTGGGGGGCGCAGCCAGGGCCAGCAGGGGTGGCAGGCCGGCGAGGTTGGGCTGGGCCACCCTGACACTGGAGCGCTGCAGGAGCAAGATGCTGCCCGCCATGAGATAAGCAATTCCCAGGCCCAGCAGCAGCATCTGAGCGCGCTTCAAGAGGCATTGCAGCCTGTAGTGAGGCGTCGCCATCCTGTTCAACCGTCTCCCTGTCCTCAGTGGAAGGACAGCTCCTGGACTAGGAGGGACAAGATGGGTAACCTACCAACAACTTCATGATCTTGGAAAGACCTGCAGCACGCGGGGATGTGGAAGACATTGGCACTTCATCGTCCAATAGCAGCAGAGGAACAATAGATGTGTCACGACAGAGAGGGGCTTAAAATCCGAGCGGTCACAGACTCCAAGATGATCTCTGGGGAAAAGCTGAGGCACAAACACAGAAAAAGACTGATTTATAACAAGAGTATTTCTGTCAGCACAGTCTATGGGGAAGGAAGTATATGCCTGTGGATTAAGTGCACAGCTCATGTTGAAATATGGGCTTGTTTCTTTGTTTTTGCAGCATCTTGCACCACATCCCTTGGTCTGAGGCTTCATTGTTTAAAACCCTACTTCAAGTAGTATTCTGCGATTTTTCTTATTTAATTTAAAAGGAGGGTGGGGATGTTCTTGCTTATGAAATGGGGACTGTCCCAGCAGCATGCAGACAATCAGTGGAAAGATGAAGTAAAAAAGAAAGGTGAGGATGAAGATGTGGACAATTCGGATGTAAAACATCTCTCCAGACTCTGACAGAGGAGAGGAGCAGTGAAGTGCAGCCTCTGCTTGTCCGTTGGCTTTTATTTCTCGGTCACGGTGTACTCTTTCGGGATGATTTAGACTTCCAGTCTATAGAGGAGCCCACGTAGGATTAGCTGTGCCTGCACACCCCAACACGCACACACCGTCGTGCCCTTCGGCTCCACTTTTCGTCTCAGATCTCTCGCCCCCCCCCCAAAAAAAAGAAAGTAGGGGTGCGGTAGTGCTCCCGAAGATTGAAGCAACAGTTTGCACGACGAGTCTCCGATCAAGTCCGAGTGCCCAAGTTACGTTCTATTCCCAATTTCTATTTTCACGCCTAAAACAAAAATGACCGCGAAACATCACCAACAACCCCGCGGAACGCATCAACAAACAGCAGGAGAAACGCGCACCGCATACGGTATTTATCAGGTCTTTCATCAGCCACCATTTACAGTGCAGAGGCTGCGTGGACGCGCCGCTCACCTTCACGCGCTCAGCATCCCTTTGTCGAGAGATCTCTCATCACTTTGCGGCCGTTATGTTCGCCCTTTTTCCCGTTTGCTGTCCGGCGAAGGTCCCTTTGGCTCTCCAGCATTTTCCAGAGCTGGTGTTATATAATCTCTCTCTCTCTCTCTCTCTCTCTCTCTCTCTCTCTCTCTCTCTCTCTCTCTCTCTCTCTCTCTGGCAGACAGTGCTGCTTGCTATCCGTCGCTCTGAAAGGCTGGCACGGCGAAATAAAGCCAGTATGTGTTAGTGAGAGAGAGAGAGAGAGAGAGAGAGAGAGAGAGAGAGAGACGTGATGAGGAGGAGGAGGAGGAGGGAGTCTCATTTGCATTGCTGATCTGAACGCGTCACGGCTCCGCCACACTGAGCGAAAGGAAGGATCGTGTCCAACAGTCCACAGCTCGGGCTGCACATCGACCTCTTCTCAAAACTGGCAAATCATTTATTCTCAGTTTAGATATTTTTACTTACAAACTCGATTTTTATTTGGGATGCAAGATATTTGCTCTCAAAACTGTTTTTTTTGTTTGTTTGCATAATAAAAGACACAAATATACCTTCATGTCTTGTCCCGAGACCCTGCTTTGCGTGCGCAGCTTTCCACGCGCTCCGCTGCGGACCAAATCACTTCAGAAGCCCCCGACCGGCATGCACGCTTCTCCCAGTCTGTAAAAACCACCGCAGAGAAGCTGATTGAAGAACATTTGGCTTTGCGGGTCTCTTGATAAAAAAAGCTATGCACACGGTTGCTTTCAATACCGTTAACCCGTATGATGAATGACCTGCAAGCGAAACCGGGAGACAAATATTACGTTCTCTAAGCCAGGACAGCAGGTCCTGATAGTTCATAGATCTAGAATCCAGTTACTGCCCCCCTCTATTGTCGTTCACTCGGACTCAGGCTTGCACGCGCGTAAAGTTGAGATGCCGAATGAGTGGACCTGTGTCTCGAGTCACGGACGATACCCGTGTGGACGTGCGTAGCGGATCAGCACCACGAACAGCGCCTCATGCGCGTTATGACATGGACACCGGGAATTACATACAACTCGATACTGTGCATTGTCTTAACTATTATTTCATTCGCTTTTATTATTACTGTCTTAAAGTGCCAAAAGAGCAGATCAAAACATCTGTAAAACTAGAGGTTTCTTAATGTGGTAATGAGAGGTTTATGGGGAATTGACCAACATTTCAAAACAAGATTAAAATAGAACAGAGACTATACCATCTTTTTCGGTTTCTTCTCTTCATGACAGCAAACCATGGGGTTAGCCTCCCATTTTCCATGTTTTTATGCTTGTAGGATAACACTGACAGAGGAACACACAATGGCTTTAGAAAAAGGGTTGCATGCAAAAACTACCCATTTCCATGTTTATCGAGAACTGTCAGTCCAAAGAAACTATCAAGAGCCGTAATGATCAGCAGACGCAGTGAGGTCTGCTTTTGGTAATTTCACTTAAAATATTGGAACAACCTCCCCTGAATTTCCCCATTTTTAGTTCAATATCGTGTCTCAGTATATCAGAGGCTCTGTTGAACCTTGCATGCATAGACCTCAGTAGTAAGCACCATGAACTTCTCTAACAAGAAACCTATATTAAGACTACTTTACTCCCTTTGACCTCAACAATTTCCAAGTCAGGAGGAATCAGGAAACATTACCAAAATATGTCAAACATACAAGGAATTTGTCTTTGCGGTTGGTGCACGACAGTAGACAGTGACAATAGACAACAAGACAGCAGTGCACAAGTAATAAAATAAAGTAAAATGCTAATGCAATGGGTTAAGGCTATGGGTTAGTATAAAACAAGGGAATAAAGTTAAAAAATTTAAATCTTAAGTAAAAAAAAATATTAAGCATAGTGCACTAGCGAAAAAGTAACGAAGTGACGAGTGACGACAAAGTGATAAATTACAGTTAAAGTAACTTGTGCAGTGTGAAGGGGAGTGACCGGTGGAATGTTAGTCAGTGGGGGACCGGGCTTTGTTGATGAGCCCGACTGCCGACGGGAAGAAACTGTTCGTGTGGCGGGAGGTCTTAGTCCTGATGGACCTCAGCCTCCTGCCAGATGGAAGGGGCACAAACAGTTTTTGTCCGGAGTGAGAGGGGTCGGCCGCGATCTTTTTAGCTCGCTTCAGAGACCTGGAAGCGAACAAGTCCTGCAGGGACGGCAGATTGCAGCCGATCACCCTCTCTGCAGAGCGGATGACGCGCTGCAGCCTGCCCTTGTCCTTGGCTGTGGCTGCAGCGTACCAGATGGTGATGGAGGAGCAGAGGATGGACTCGATGATGGCCGTGTAGTCTAACTTTATACATTAGATCCCAACTAGACTGCTTAAAAAGAAGCTCTACCTTTTTAGTGTTAGGGTTGATGAGGACAGGATCCAAAAGCAGAACCGGGGACAAAGTCTTGTGGTCAACAAACGAAAATCTTTATTTCTCAAGAGGCTCGTGAGGAGAAGGTCGCGAGTGCAGGATCCGGAGCGAAGGCTGCGTAAGCGCGCTGGCGCGTGGCGTAGTCGCGTCGACGAGAGGTAATGATCCGACGAGGAGGCCTGGGAGACAGCAGGCTATAACTCGTGTCGGATTCCTGATTGGCCACAGGTGTGGGTAGTAAGAGCGCTCCTCTTGGTCGCCCCGCCCAGCCTGAAAACACAGCAGCGCCAGCCAGCACCCAGGATCAAAATATACAACACTAAATAAAGGCCCAGAAATCATAATCTTCACAGTACCCCCCTCTCAACGAACGCCTCCTGGCGTTCTCCCGGGTCTGCCTCATAGAAATCCCGGAGGAGCGTCGGGTCCAGGATGAAACTGCGGGAGATACAGGAGCGCTCCTCAGGAGCGTATCCCTCCCAATCAACCAGGTACTGGAAACCGCGTCCTCTGGTCCTGACGCCCAGTATCCTGGAGACCGTATACACGGGGTGATCATCGATGAGCCGGGGGGGCGGAGGGGGAATGGCCGGAGGGCTGAGATCACTGATGGAGACAGGCTTAAGGAGGGAAACATGGAAAGTGGGATGTATCTTCATCGAATCAGGGAGGATTAGACGGACAGAGGAAGGGTTAATTATTCTGGAGATTGCGAAAGGCCCCCATATAATGGGACGCCAGTTTACGTGACTCCGTTTGAAGTGGAAGGTCCCGGGAAGATAGCGACACCTTCTGGCCGACCTCATACTCAGGGGCGGGGGAGCGATGTCGGTCTGCCAGCAGTTTGTTGTTCTCGGCAGAGCGAGTGAGTGCCGCCTTCACATTCCTCCAAACCTCCCGAATCCTCCGAAGATGCTCGTCTACTGAAGAGACTGCCACCTCCTCCTCTTGGGCTGGGAATAACGATGGTTGAAAACCGTAGCAAGCCATGAATAGGGACATACCTGTAGCGGAGCATGAGAGGGAGTTGTGCGCATACTCAATCCAGGGCAGGAAAGAGCTCCAGGAGACAGGGTGATGAGCGGTCACACGGCGTAATGCTGCTTCCAGATCCTGATTAGCCCGCTCTGTCTGGCCGTTCGTCTGGGGATGACAGCCAGAGGAGAGACTGGCTGCTGCGCCCACGGCCTTACAGAAAGCGCTCCACACATGGAAAGCAAACTGTGGTCCACGATCTGACACGATATCTAACGGAATCCCGTGGAGCTTAAACACATGATTGGTTAGAAGGTTAGCAGTTTCCAAGGCAGAGGGTAATTTGGGGAGGGGAACATAATGCACAGCCTTGGATAAACGCTCAATGATGGAGAGTATGACTGTTACCTTCGTATGGGGGTAACCCGGTGACGAAATCCACGGCAATGTGTAGAGCGAGTAGATTCGTGAGTGTGAGTCCGGTTTCCCATTACGGCTTCCGGGACGATAGGACAGAGTGTAATGGAACCTGCTGAGGAACACCGACCAACGGGCTTGACGAGGATTGAGCCGGCGAGCATCGCGGAGGTACGCAAGGTTCTTGTGGTCCGTCCATATAAAAAACGCTTGCTGGGAGCCTTCAAGCCAGTGCCTCCACTCCTGAAGAGCCAGCACTACCGCCAGAAACTCTCGGTTACCCACGTCATAATTTATTTCGGTCATCTCATTGACCGATTTGGGGACTTCTAAGGGCTCGAGAGGGAGGTTTGTCTGTGCGGCAAAGTTCTCATCAATGAAATTGTCATCCGAACCCGAATCGATAAATACATGTAGGGGGTAGGACTGGGTGTTGCTCCAGAGGGTATCCAGAAAGGACATCCGGCCCGGAGAGCGAGACGACGAGGTGTGGCTCACCAGAGTGCTTTCTGTCACTGATGAGCTAGAGCTTTTGGCGGGGCCCGGCAGGTCGCAGCATAATGGCCCGCGAGTCCACAGTATAGGCAGAGTCTTAGTTGTATCCGTCGCTGGCTTTCTGAGGGGGACAGGCGAGCTCGACCAAGCTGTATGGGTTCTTCAGAGGGAGGTTGGGGGGGCAGAGGGCCTGGCAGGACTCCAAGATGGGGAGGCAAGGACGCGCGTGGGTCCCTAACCCTGCGGCCTGCGGATGGGACTGGGTTACAGGTCCATTCTGCTCGTTCTCTCCTCCGTTCCCGGAGACTATTGTCTAGCCTGATAGCTAAAGCAATCAATTGCTTGAGGAAGGTAGAGTCATCTCGAAAGGCCAGCTCGTCCTTTAGCTCCTCAGACAGATTCCTGGCGAACAAGGTCCTTAGTGCTGGCTCATCCCATCCACATTCTGCTGCCAAAATCCAGAATTCAATGGAAAAGTCTGCTACTGATCCAGACCCTGGTCTTAACAAAAATAGCAGATTCATGGCCTTTTGCCCTTTAACGGGGTGATTGAAAACTTTACGTAGCTCCGTTGAAAAAATTAGGGAAGGAACTCAAAACTGCAGAGTGGCTAGTCCACAACGCAGTGGCCCACTGGGCCCGCTTT